TCACACAATAATGGAGAAACATGCTCTGAAACTCATAAAAACCACCACCACATAAAAATGCCTGAAGTTGTGGCAAAAAGACTATAAGACAAGTGACAAAGCCTCAATGCATGTTAGAAAACGACTAAGAGTTTAACAAAAACACAGTAATGAGGATATAAACCACAACCAATGAGCAAAGCATACACTTAGTTGCCTAACTCAACAGCTAATTATAGCCCTCTTCTCCTTCATTACTCCTCAATTGAGAAGCTGAAAAAAATCCCAGATTTTCTCATTTTCAGTATGAGAAAATGAGAGTTTTTCTCTAGAGCTAGAGTGGTCACTGGCCCAGTTTTTGCCAATAAGACATAAGAGGAAATCTGAACAATGGCTTCTAAGAAAGCATTTGTTTACCTTACTAAAGGAACAGATTCAAGAAGACCTGCTGGTACTGCCTCCTCCTTTCAGCCTTAGATGAAAATATGTGCCTAAATTCCAAGAGCCATCTTGGGACAAGGTGAAAAGCATTAGGCTGAAAACTTTACATACTAAGAATGGCAGAAGAGACTGAATCTTGGTAACACTCTTGAGCTACCATACATGCCCTATTAAAGGACTGCTTATTCTTTTTTTTTAAATTTTATTTTTAATGTTTTATTTATTTCTAGGAGAGAGAGAGAGACAGCGTGAGCAGGGGAGGGTCAGAGAGAGAGGGAGTCACAGACTGAAACAGGCTCCAGGCTCTGAGCTGGCAGTCAGCACAGAGCCCGACGCGGGGCTCGAACCCACAAACCGCGAGATCATGACCTAAGCGAAAGTCGGACGCTTAACCGACTAAGCCACCGAGGCGCCCCAAAGGACTGCTTATTCTTAAGACTTCCTGTTAGGTGAGTTAATTATATATCTTTTCCACTTAGGCCAATATTGGTTAGATTCTCTATTACCTGCAGCAAAAAGAAATCCAAATTTAGCCTCAAAGAAAAGCTTTTTTCAAGTAGACAGAGAAGTTAGATTTTGGCAGCACCAATGAGGAACAAATTAAATGCTAACACCTATATCCAAGTATGATATTGAAAATCTTCCATTAAAGACATAAAAATGACTTGAGAAACAGTAGAAATAAAACTTAAGAGGATAAAAACCGAAGAAGGTAGGAAAATAAAAATAACAAAATTTAAAGGTGTTAGCTACAAACAACCAAAAACAGAGAGTAGTATATAAATGAGTAAAATGTATACCCAAATATACAGTAATAAAAGATAATCCCCCACTTTCTCAATGATTAAAACTACTTTATAAATTTTAGGTATGTAATAAGACAATAAAGTGTCTATTTATGATATGTAGTATTATAATCCAGTTATACACTTATATGCATGGAAATACTATTGTCTCCCCACTCACGTGTTTTATAGAATAATTTTATCCAAACATTTCAACTCTGCCTTCAACAATGGCATCTTTTATTAATTCTTCTATCAGTTTTGCCAATACACATGGCCTTCATTTTTCCTTTTAAGTTAACTGAAAGACAGCACTTTTTTTTTTTTAGTTTATTTTGAAAGAGAGAGAGCAGGGGAGGGGCAAAGAGGGAGGGAGAGAGAGAATCTCAAGCAGGCTCTGCACTCTAGCAGAGTCTGACTCCAGGGTAGATCTCAAGAACTGTGAAATCATAACCTGCGCCAAAATCAAAGGTCAGATGCTTAACCGACTGAGCCACCCAGGCACCTCAAAGACAGCAATTTTAAAATCTGTTTAGGTTGTCAATGGAAGTTTTTCTATGCCCTAGTTCCCATACGCATAATGTTGGAACTTAAAACAAAAAAATGTTGGGTCTTATTTGTATGATTGTCACAACAGAGCCATTCTGCCTTTTAAGTGACTTTAGAAGATCTACTTACAATGGTATCTAACAACTATGACATCAATATCAAATTTCTTTGATACCTTTTTTTTAATACATTTTTAAAATTTATTTTTGAGAGAGAAAGAGACAGTGTGCAAGTAAGGGAGGGGCAGAGAGAGAGGGAGACACAGAATCCAAAGCAGACTCCAGGCTCTGAACTGTCAGCACAGAGCCTGACACGGCTCAAACCCATGAACCGTGAGATCATGACCTGAGCCAAAGTCGGACACTTAACAACTGAGCCACCCAGGCACCCCTAAAATTGACAGGTTTTAAATGTTTGCATATATAAATTATTTTTAATCATTTTAGAGAACAACATTTGTATTTTAGAACTCCTAAAAGCTCTTACTGAAACTACGGAGGTTCAAAGAGCTATACAGATTACAGTGAGATCAGTTAAGGCAGAAATATATATGAATCACCAATAAAGCTATATCATATAAATTTTAGAATGAATTATAAGCCAAGGTTGGAAAGCGGAGAGACATAGGAACTCTCACTTCTTTTAGTCTAACAATTCCACTCCTACAGAAATATTATGATAGTACATAGACACCTGTAAAAGCGTGTTCAGTGCAACATTATCTCCAACAGTGAAAAACTTAAAAACAACTTAAGTGTCCCTAACAGAAAACTGGCTAAACAAACTTTGACAGAACCATACAATGCACACAATGGGATATGCTGCACGTATTCTAAGAAGTTGAAAGAATGTGGTGCATCAATACATAATGACACAAAGATATCCATGAGATATAAAGTGAAAAGAACAAGATGCAGAAATACATAGTATCATCCTAGCTGTTTTTAATGTTAAAAACTGTATGTATATGCTCGTTCCAGAAACTACAATAAAGAAACACTAAATTTGTAACACAGAGTGTTTACTCCTAGGGGAATGGGAATGAGGACGGAGTGAAAGGAACATAGAATTTAGGGTTCCTGCCAGCTGTACTTTTTGAATATGTTTACCATGAGCACGTACTCCTTTAAAATTAAATAGCAGTATTAAAAGAAAACAACCGTAAAGAATGTGTTACCTCTTTTGAATCATTTAGATGTTTCTATGTGAAGCATTCTACATAACTACAAAATACCTGCTAGAATATTTGTTGACATATATTTAAACCTTTTTTTTTGAAATATTAAAATTTTTGTAGCGAAAGAGAAATGAAACTAAAGGAGGAGCAAGGATAAAGATAAAGGAAATTCAAGTTCATGGGAAGGAGAAGATGGTTAACACTGTACCCTTTCGCTTGTATAAATCGTCACTTCACTGCCATCATAAAATAAATGAACTGAGTACCTGATGATACAATGTGTTACCTGATCCATATTTTTTAAAGTATGTTCTTCTACAGTATGTACCAAGTTAATTTGGGAACAAGGATACTTTTGCTCTAATTCAGACTCTGTAACTGGTATGTGATTTAACCCTGAAACAAACATTTAAACTATCTACTACTTTCTATCTAAATTATCTTTCTGTTAAGAATCACTGTGCTGGCTGAAGTGCTGAATTGTGATTATCAAGGAGAAACTGTGCTGCTGAAACACAATAAAGCCACGGAGGACTATTACTGGAACCCAACGGGTTCATTAAGGTATCTTCTCCTCTCTTGCCAAATAGCCATAATTAATGAAAAACTGCAAAAAATACAGGACTTTCAAAGAGTTAGATCCTGCAGTGATCATGGTTTGAGTTATTCCACTAGGCAAAACAGACCACACCCAGCCAAGATGCTGCAGAGGGCAACGGAGGACAAGGAACTGGATGAGGAAGGAGAAAAAACTATGATTATAAATTTAGGACTCGTAAGCAGCAGAAAATCAGGAGCTGAAGTAGCTATTCTTTAGCTTGTTTCTTTTTTTCTTTTTTCCACCCCATTTCCTTAAATAAACAGCAATGTTGTTAACTAAAAACACAAACATATATACATACATACAGACATAATCTGTTTTGTAATTTGTAGGGATTTATGATAACAATGAAAATGACTTCCGAAGGACTTCAACAAACCATCTTTACCTGCATTTAGAGAAGCTTTGCTCCTGCATTAGCAAATACAATGGTGTATATTTCCAAAAACAACATTATAGCTATGACATTTGAAGAACCTGAGAACCCTGTATTATGATAATGAGGTATGCTATAACACAAATGATTAGGATACTTTCTAAAGATCACAACATTTTCCTAGTGGCAGTAGTGGTAGCACTTAAAGGAAGTTCAGTTTAAAATGACATGTTACTGTTTTTGCTTTGTCCAAATTCTTACGCTTAACCACACTGCTTCTTTATAAGCAATCAGAGTACCAGTAAAGCAATATAAAATTACACACAGACAGTGTGGTGTCAGTGTTAGGTAGAAGATAGACAGGAGCAGTGGAAGTAATACCCTGAGGCAGAGTCCCAAATCCTTGAAGGGGAATGACAGAGACAAAAGCAAGAAGGCGATAAATAAGCCACACATTAAAAGCCCTGGGGCACAACATCCTTAAGTTAAGGCTTCAAGACCTTGGGGCTTTCTCCTCCTCTCCTCTACCACCTCTACCCAGGGTAACCCCTAGACTAATTATAATGCATTTGCATTGATGTATAGCCTTGCCCTGGAGAAAAGCTGCCTTGATTTCAGGTACAAATCCCATACAGTCCAAAACTCCCCCTCCCACTCTGTGGGAGGAGTTTCCTATTAGAGACCACCCCACCGCAAGTCACTGCTCTCCCCCAACCCAGAAAGACCCAATAACATCCAATCCCAAAACAACATATGGTAGATTCCACCAGCTCTCCCAACCAAAGTGTGTACTTTCGCTTTAATAAACTGCTTTGTGCTCACTATTTCCCTTCTGGCTGTCTTTATTCCAGCGAGTATCCCCACATAAATCTTCTTGTGGGGAATCAAAGAATCAAGACCTCCATTCACACAATGCAGACTCTCCCCGGGTAGTAACATTATTATTACCCCAGAATCAAGCTGATACTCATACACATATGTATCGAAGCAAAAATTATATGCTTTTCTTCCTGAAAATACACCATAAGGAAAATATCCAAAAGCTGTCACATGGCTTAGTTCTTTTAAACTTTCTTGCAAAATGTATCTGACCTTCAAATGATTCTCTATACTGGACAATATTTGGATGCTTCATGTTTGCCAACACTGCAACTTCTCTCCTTGACTCTTCCCTTTCTTTATTGGACATCTTAAATGGGAGAGAAAAAGAAAATATTAAATTAAACCATCAATAAACAATCTAAAAGTCCATCAGTAAGAGAGTAGTTAAAATATAACTACCAATAAAGCACAGTCCAAATAACAAAATAAAGACAGAAGTTAAAAAGAATCCACAAGAAAAAACATTTTAAGATGTTCAAACTAGATTAAGTTACAGAACAGGTGTTGTATTTGTTTAAACACTTAAACACACAAACACAAGCACACATCATAGAAAAAAATATGAAAAGATATACAAACTATTCTGAAATTAGTGGTCCTCTCTGGGATTATGGCAGCCTTTCACTTTGGGTTACGCATTGCCATGTTTGTTTTTATTCTCTAATGATGAGCCCTACTGAAACCAGACTATTAAATAATCAAAGAAAAAAATACTTACTCTTGAGATGTTAATTTCCTTGATAACATATTGTCTGTCATCTTCTGCAGATTTAACAAGAATGGCTTTTCCAAATGAACCTTCTCCAATCTTCTGTAGTCTAATATACTTCTCCATGGTTTTTTTTCCCATTAGGCATCCTAACAGATATATAAGATATTAAAAAAAAGCAACAGTTAACAGATATAAAGCATTCTTCCATAACAATTATGTTAAATTCAATTGTAATTCCTTAGTGATTTGCTTACTTAAAAAAAAGGATATTTAAATTCTTAAAGTTAAATTAACTTTATCTCAATTTTACGTATACAATCTACTTATAGTTATAAAGAGAAAAACAATGACATTTCAATTTTCTAAGAATGCTTTGCAAAGTCAAATACTATATATACTTAACATGGAGAAACTTTTTCCTACGTGAGTTAGTTAGCAGCATTATTTTATTATCTCCAATAAGAATGGATTTCCCAAAATTATTTAACTAATCCTCTATTAGACATGAAATTGTTTATATTGTTTGTTATTATAGAAGAACTTTAAATATCTGTACATACATTTTTATGTACCTATTACAAGGATTTCCTTAAGATAAACTATTAGTTCAACGAATATGCACATGTTAAAATTTTGAAACATAGAGCTTAACTGTCTTACAGAAATGTTTTTTTTTTTTTGAGAGAGAGAGAGAAAGGGCACAAAAGTGGAGGAGATGGGGGGGATGGGGTGAGAATCTCAAGTTGGCTCCGTGCCCAGGACAGAGTATGACAGGGGACTTGATACCATAGTCCTGAGATCAGGTCTGGAGCCAAACCACGAGCTGGATGTCCAACCAACTGAGCCACTCAGGCACCCCTACTAATATTCTAACCAGCAGTGTATAAAACTACCTATTTCTAGATACTCTTTTAATACTGGTTGTTATTTATTAAAATCTCTGAGAAGCCATAAAGGGTAGTAGTTAACGAGCACTAAAACCTTAAGAGTCAGGGAGCCTGGATTTAAATCCTGACTTTATCACTTTTTTATTATGCGACATTGGACAAGTTACTCAGCTTTATGTGCCTCAGTTTGTTCATCTGTAAAATGTGGATCACAATAGTACATACTTATAGAACTATTGGGAGGATTAGTTAAGTTCAATATTCTATTGCAGAATAATGCCTGACACATAGTGAGCACTGTCACTATTTGTTGTTGTTACTCATTACATTCAACAGGGAAATGGCATCTCATTTTTATTTGAATTTCTGCTGCTTATCAGTTAATTTGAAAAATTCTTCCACGTTTATTGAACATTTGTATTTCTTCTTGTTTGAACTACTCATTCATGTTCTTTGTTCATTTACTACTCCGATAGTCTTTTTATTAATTTCTAAAAGCCCCCTCTTTAAAGAAGATGTTAGAGGGGCACCTGGGTGGCTCAGTTGGTTGAGCATCCAACTTTTTTTTTTTTTTTTTTTACAAATAGTTTATTGTCAAATTAGTTTCTACATAACACTCAGTGCTCATCCCCAAAGTGCCCTCCTTCATGCCCATCCCCCCCTCCCCCCCACATCCATCAGTCCTCAGTTTTTGTCAGCATTCAAGAGTCTCTCATGGTTTGCCTCTCTCCCTTTCCCCCACCATTTCCGCCCTTCTTCTCCCCCTTGTTCCTCCGTCAAGTTCCTCCTAATCCTCCTATACGTGCAAACATATGGTATTTGTCCTTCTCTGCCTGACTTAT